AAAAAAGCTACCCCCATCAGAAAAGTGAGAACAGAGTATTAAAGCTGACTGCTCTTGGCTGCCTACACCCGCCTGCAGCTATGTTACTATAATAATAAAGAACGGAAGAACCATATGCTAATGATGAGCCAATTAACCAGGGTGAAAAGCTCCTCTGATGGCAGGCAGTGGCAGGGTTGCTGAAACAAGTGCAACGTGTTAAATCTGAAGAGTGTAGCAGGAAATCTTATAACATTTGCTCACTGGCAAAGCCAAGAGAAGAGCCTATCTGCTGTGCTCAGGATGAGCCGAGGAGCCAAGCAGACTCCTAGGACGACAGAGACCCTTACCTCAGTGGTTGAAAGCACGGTGTCCTCATCCAGGCTTAGCACTGCATCTGTCACTATGTTGTCGTAGGGTAGGAAGCGACTGCTCATAACCTGTGGGTATCCAAGGCAGGAAGGGGAGGAAAAAAAAATCACTTGAAGGACTAATATCTAGTGGAAATACTCTATTTTATTCCTCACTCTTACTTCCTCTTGTCTGAGGCACACTGCATATCTCTTCCTGATGGAAAGGACCCTTCAGCTCAAGAGTGAAAGACTGTCATTTTTGTCATCCCAGCAGCCAGCCTACACCTTCTACCTGAGGAGTAATTTCTGAACAGACCTCCTTCTTTGGAGCAGGCTGCTTTCTTTTTGTGACAAACTGCAATGGTCTGTACTGAGAATTAGATGTACCTACAGCTTCTTTAGGGAGGACATTTTTCCTGGTGGCTAGGACTGTCCCTCTGCCCTCCTACAGAGTGTAAGGATCAAAGATAATGAAGCACTGAGAAAGAGTTTGCAGCATTCATAAGGTCACGCAGCTGGGAAGCCAAGGAGTCCAGGCTGTGCGTGAAGGATGTTATGCTACCAGGATGGGTCCCCTGTAAAATGGTACAGCTCCATCTCTGTGCATTGCTGTTGTATCTGCAGGAAGCTGCTGCCAAGTGGTGCAACATCTTCCATCAGAAAAGGAATATGCCAAAGAACATGAGTATCAGTTGAGCCTCACCTGAATCAAGAATTATATTGGTATTGTAGTATTTTAAAAAGTCACATTCTTAAGTGACACAACTGCATATATATATGTGTGTGTGTGTATATATATATGTATATACATATATATATATATATAAGTCTACATGCAGAATAAGATTTTAACAACTATGGCAGAACAGTTCTCAGAGCAATAGGAAATAAATGGGAAAGTGGGATCAAAAAGATAACAGCAAGAAATGAGAATCCATATGGTTTCTTTAGCAGGCTAATTAGCACCTTTTGAGAACTGATGAATAGTAACAAGGACACAACACTATTTGTTTCCCTCATTCACTAGCAAAAATATCCTAGCTAGTTAATAGACTTCTTTTCCAATTTATTATGCCAAGAAAACACTATAAAAATCAGGCTCAGTAAGAGCAAATCACTGTATGGAACAGGGACATGAAGGAGTTTTACATGTCCCTCATAATGGACATGGTGAGTTCTCCATCCCCTGCAATCTGTTTGGAAGCAAGTCCCTAACTCTCTGCCTCAATTCAGAGGAAGTTCTGTCTCTATAATCAGGAGGTTCACGATGTCTGTCTGGAGAGCACCTCTTCATCATTACAATGGCCTCGGCCTGGGGAGGCGGTGGCTGTGAGGAAGAGGTGATCTGGCAGCGGTTGATGGTTTTGCTTTGCTTATGCAAAGCCAAAGCAGAGCAAGCTGCTGGCAGAAGACCAGCATTCTCACCCCAGCTCTTTTACAGACCATGTAAAATTGTCAAATAGTAACAGTTGGGACTACCCATGTATTTGTTTTTGTAGTTAAGGCTCCTTTTTGTAAAATGGGTGTGATAATATATCTTGGTTTCACGGGGAAGAGTGAAGGTTAGGTAAAGGCAGTCCTCTGTGATCACCTGCACAGAGTAACTGTGCCCGCCAGTAGGCTTCAGTTAAGTCCGACACTGAAAAGCAGTTCCTTTGTGCAACCTTTCAATTGCACTGCTCTGGCTCTGCAAGCTTTGTCCAAACAAACAGCTTTTCCGTGCAAGGAGCCATTTGGCATAAGTTGGGATATTAGAGGGAAGAGATTGTCCACTATAAACACACCTTTGTGTACTCAGGAGACTCATTTGTAATCTAAACAGTGGCGGGGCCAATTTCTACAAACACTGTAGAACTCGTCAGAGATCTTCTCCTCTATCTCACCTCTGTGAGTTGTCCAAAAAAGAAGAAAAAAACCTCGCAACATTCAAAAGGCTCAGATATTGCTACAGCTTTTCTCGGCCCTGCAGCAACTCTCTTGATGCTGTTTCCATGGCTAGCGAAGGCAAGAGCCATTAGCTGCCAACCTCGCAGGGCTCTCGCTTTCCCCTTGTGTTAAGGTGACTGAGGGAAATGACCAAAGACAGGACTATAAATGCAAAATAGGATTGAACAGCCAAAGCAACTAAATGTCCCTTTGCAAATGCAGAGCTCAAGAGCCAGCTGACAGAGACCGCAGAGGGGACCAGCCCAAATCTGTCTAGGAGTCTAGAAGCAAGAAGTCCTGCTTCCCTTGGGTCTGCATTTGGAAAGGAATCATCCAGTTCAGTGTGGATTTTTAAAAAAGCCTCTTTTCTCATCTGAGTAGTGTCTGCTTTGACTTTGTGGGAGTGCAAAGAAACAAGTGTGTTGCACAGCAAGAGATGACACAGTGATTTTGTTCCCACGCAAGTGTCCCTTGTCCCTTCCTTTTTTATGGTGATGGGATGCCATCCCTGGCACCAGTACCCTACAAGGCCATGAGAGAAGGTACTTTTCAAAAGCCGGGTTAACACCATTCATTCTTATCCCTTCCTCTGCTTTTGAGTCCACAGCTGACCCCCAAGTCTTGTACCTGACTGCTCAGACTCAATGAGTCCAGCTGCATCACTACTTTCATGCACCTGCAGAGACAGAAATCTCCAAAGATGAGGTCAGCACTACCCGCTCTCAGGGCCACATTTCAAAACCTAGTCCCACCTATGAATCTCAGATTCATGGCATTAATTGCTATGCTGATGATTTCTGAGAGCATGGGGCCTCGTGCATGAAACACAAATCTGTGACTAACCTGGTATGAAGGACCAAGGAACAAAAAGGAGTTGTCACATTGTTGGGAACTACAGACTTTCACCAAAGCAGCTGGAAAAATACATTCTGGTCCCCCTGGTGAATATATACAACCTTTTATGATATTTCTCTCCACCTACCTTGCTCTCTCCTTCAATGACTATGACAGGCACAGAAGTGGCAGGCCAGCGGTGTTTGGCTGGGAGGGGTTTATCACAATTCCATAACACAATAATCTGAAAGAGAGTATTGGACCATGATCAGAGATCTTTGTGGCAATGAAGTCCAAACCCTAAGGACTCAGATGTCCAGACAGAAATGTTAAATTCAATTTAGGAATTTCAAAATCAACAACAATGATACAAAACTGTATAAAAATAACACTTCCTACAGCAATTTCACTCATCCTGACTATTTACAGTATACGTCCTCTCAGGCAAATATAGGCTGGACTGGAACTCAGGAAGTCTCTGTCTAGGCCAGGTCATACAGATACCACTGATTTACTTTGGCTCTTGTTAAAGACTAAACCACTTGTGACACTTCACTGCAAGAGGGTGCTCCTACTGAACTCCCCAGGGTTTCTTTTAGAGAAGCCAAAATTCT